CCCTGCTGCAAACAGCGAGTTCGACTACGGAGGGTGAAAGGAGGAGGGGGAGGGGAGGAAGGTGATATGCTGTGGGTTCCGTTCCCCCAACCAATTCACGGAGCATTGGGTAGCGCTACTCAGCGCTCATTGGCAAAGTTAACCGAGTTTTAATATTGTCCTACGTTTCGGTCTAGTGCACATGATGTTACCGAATCAGTATGGATCAGAAGAGCTGGACTGGTGCAGTGGATAGACGGACAAAGCAGTCACTGAATGATCGCTAGACAACTTCAAAAGAATACAGGGAAGACCGACAATGCAGTGGAGAGCTGAGGTTGAACGTTTAGACGGAATCATGAAGGTTGGAGACGCTCAAAACAGCAAAAGAACGGAGAAGTTGTCAGTTGCATTTATGGTAAAAAGCAACAGTGAAAAAAAAAGAGCAACTGATCAAATTTGGAAGTATAATTCACACTAATCAGTGAAGTACAAGTGCAGAGTGTAGCTGATAACGAACGCGGAAGAGTACGCAATGCCTATGACGGCGGAGGTAGACGGGATGAGTGTCTGAAGTGCCTCTTGAAAACCAGTTAATTTAGGACTGAAGGTTAGGAGATGAGCGCTGTAAATGATGGCCGTCGTAAATAACATGAAAAGTAAGATGCATTTTGAAAAATACGTTACTTATTTTGATCACAGTCAGTGGCTGTTGCGCACTAGTGAATCATATTAGCAAGAGAAAACGACCACTTAAGAATGGGATCCGACAACGAGCTAGTTCATGCACATATCAGAAGTAACGTGTAAAGAGGGATCCAGGGCTGCGCGCCACGTGTTTGCTGTAATTGAGCAAGGTCGAGGATCCCACAGTGAGTGTTAGGGCAATCCAGATGAAGCATGCTTCCACGCCTGTATCAACTCTAAAAGTATGGTAAATCCTTTTAAAATAATACAAATCTCATCGTCTCCAGCTTACATGAAACCTGAAAAGGGTGTACACCAAATTCAACAACAAAATTACCTGGCAATATGCGGCACCCGTATGCATATCCTCAATTTTAGCGAAATTCGACTGCAGACAGTCGTTCACCCACATCAGCATCTCATGACGAGACAGATTGTCCGTGGTTGCAGACGTCGTGTATACATTTACAACATTCATCTGAAACTGCGCATTCTTATTTGCTATTAGTGATTTGGTTGATCGGTCACTAGGCCCTCTAGCCCGTAAAGAAGTTCGTCGTCGTTGAGGAAAACTCAGTACAAATACTAGTGCAAAAAGTCTGGTAATGAACCTTTCGGAAGATGAAACGAATGTCAG